TCATGGACTGGTGGGGTCCAGCAGGCCTGGCCTGATCAGGGCCAATTGGGCGAGGCCAGCCAGGGGAAGGGGATATGGGAGGTTGGCCAGCTGGCCCCACCCACAATCAAGGTGAGGGATCCGATCAAAAATGGGGCTGGTCGAGGGGGGGAAGGGGGACAGGGTGGGGAGGCCCGCAAGCAGTTAGCCGGCTGGCCCAGCCGGCCCGGCCCCTTGGTCAAACTCCTGGTCAAATTCCTGGTTGAAGAGACATTTGCATATTAGCCTTTTATTACATAGACTAGGATTTAAATCTGATCCATTTCAAGTTAGTTTTTATACAAGGAGTGAAGCTTAAGAAGAGATTTAGTTTTGTTTTGTTTTTGCCTATGAAACTCAATTACTCCCTTAAATAACTAAGCCTTATAAATCATGTCTAGCACAAATTATCCACTAGGTAATCAGCTTGCTTTGCTTTTTGCTAACATTAACCCACTGAAAACAGAGATTTTTGTTGTTGTTATTATAAATCCTCACACAAGGATATTTTTCCATTGCTTTTGGAGTGCTCCCTTCGATAGCTCAGCTGGTAGAGCGGAGGACTGTAGCCACTTCCTGTCTAGCTATCCATTGCTTTTGGAGAGACTAGAAGGAGAAGAAAAAGTGGGAGAGAGAAACATTGATGTGAGGGGGACACATTGAGTGGTTGCCTCCCACACACACCCCAACCAGGGCTGGGGAAAGAACCTGCAACCCAAGTACATACCCTTGACCAGTAACTAAACCTACAACCCTTCAGTGTGCAGGCTGACACACTAACCATTGAGCAACACGAACCAGTGCAAAAATAGGGGTTTTTATTGGGGAAGAGGTGGTGGATTTATAATTTTTTTTTTTTTTTTTTGGCAATTATATAGGGAAACAAGGCTAACAGAAAGAAAACTGAGTACAAAAAAACCTAACTTTCCTCAGTTCTACCCTTTTGCCTAGCAATTATGTACTCGGGTACTCCTATATTGGGTGTGTATATGTTTACCAGTTATTTCTTTTTGATGGATTGCTTCCTTTAGTATTATGAAGTGGCCTTCTTTAACTCTTATGTCCTTCACTTTGAGATCTAATTTGTCAGATAAGAGTACTGCTACCCCAGCTTTTTTTTCATTTCTATTTGCCGGAAAAACCTTTTTCCATCCCTTCACCCTCAGTCTGTGTGCGTCTTTTTTTCTGAGGTGGTTTTCTTGTAGACAGCTGATATATGGGTCATGTTTTCTTATCCAACCTGTTACCCTGTCTTTTGATGGGCATTTAATCCATTTACATTTAAAGTTATTATTGATAGGTACTTGTTTGTCGCCATTTTTATTCTTTATCCCTGTGTTCCTCCTTTGCTTCCTATTTCTTTTTTTTTACAGCAGACCCTTTAGCATTTCTTGCATTGCTGGTTTGGTGGTAATAAACACCCTTAATCCTTTTTTGTCTGTGAAGCTCCTGATTTCACCCTCAATTTTGATTGATAGCCTTGCTGGGTACAGTATTCTTGGATTCAGACCCTTCCTTTGCATGACTTTGTATATTTCATTCCCTTCCTTTCTGACCTGATGTGTTTCTTTTGAGAAATCAGTAGCTAGTCTGATGGGGTATCCTTTGTGGGTAACTTTGTCTCTCTGGCTGCTTTTAAGATTCTTACTTTGTCATTGGTGTTTGCCAATTTAGTTATAATGAGCCTTGGCACTGGCCTTTTGGGGTTCATTTTGCTTGGGACTCTGTGAACTTCTTGGATTTGTGTGGTTTTTTACTTCCCTATATCAGGGAAGTTTTCTGTCATTATCTTCAAACAGGTTTTCTATTCCTTGCTCAGTTTCCTCTCCTTCTGGAACCCCTATTATACAGTTGTTGTTTTGTTTCATGGTGACCCAAAGTTCCCTTATTTCTTCTTGGTTCTTCTTCATTTCCTCTTGGTTCTTACACATATTGTCGAATTTGTCTTTCATTCTTTTCAGCCACCTTATGACTATTTCTCTGAATTCTTTCTCTAACAGGTTGCTTGCCTCCATTTCATTTACTTCCCTTTTCTGGTGATGCCTGCTTTTCTTTCATATTTGGGCTGTTTCTTTGTCTCCCCATGATCTCTCTTCTCCAGGTGTCTGGTTATGTAGTTCTCTCTCTCCTGTGTTGATTTAAAGGCACAAAATACAACACAACAAGGTACAATGCACAAGGCACTGAACACAAATGTATTCATGAAATTAATAACTCAAAATAAAGAAATGACCAGAGAAATAAAAATTAGAGGAGAGAAAGAAGAGAAAAAAAGATTGCAAAAATGAAATTGGGAAAAGAGAGTAAGAAAAGGGGGGAAAAAACTATATATATGGAGAGAAAACTCCAATAGAACAGCCATTAATACTAACAAATGCCAGCAAAAAGTACCTGGAGATGAATGCAAACTACAAATAACAACTAATATCAAGCAAGGTGAGGGAAAACAGAAGCAAAAAAAAAAAAAAAAGCAAAAGCAAAACAATCTCACAAACAAGCATAAAAAAACAATATAATAAAAAATCTAGCAAATAACAACAAAAGGACAGAAAAAAAATTTTTGAATAGTGAAGAAAGAGGAGGGAAAGGAGTGTATGAACTTGGAATAGGGGATTGGAATTTAGATGTATAAGTAGGGTGAAATTTTAACAGGGGGTAAAAAGAAGGAATAGAGAAAATCTAAAGCAGGAATAGGGTAAGAAAAACAGGACAACAAAAGGGGGAAAATGAGGAAGAGAGTGTTGGCATAAAGGTAAAGTTGAGAGAGTAAAATGATGCTAAAGGAAAGATGAAAAAGGTAAAATAGTAGTAATAATACTGATTGAAAATAAAAATGTATTAAAAAGGTAAAATCAAGTGAAAAAAGAAAAAAAAATATTTCTTAAGTAAAAGATGAAAAGATAAAAAAAAATGTGCAGCAGTGAAGGTCATATACTTCCTCTACTATTCTGTTTGGCACACCTGTTTCTTAGTCAGGACATTATTGAAGTTCCCTGTGTTCTATTGCTCCTCAGTGTTGTAAGTCACAGTCCTGATTTTTAAGCAGACAATATGTCTTTATTTCTTATATTCCTTTGTGTCTACACAAGAGTCAATTTGTGATTCAACCCCTGGGTGGCAGTGTTTCTGGATTGACCTCTGGGTCTATAGGTACTCTCTAGCTAGTGTTTAGATTTTGTTTTCCCAGTGGCACTTAATACTGGTTTGAGGGAGTGGGTTGCCCCAAAGCTGGTTCTCTGATGGTTATTCCCTGCTGATTCCCATGTTCCAGAAAAACAACTTTCCCCTGTAGTCTCAGAATTTTCACAATTGGGTGATGCTATGTATTGGGCTTAGTAATCAAAAGCCAGGATTTAAAGAGAGAAAAAAAAGAGCCAGAGTAAGCATTTGAACTCCGGGGCTGCACACAAACGCGTGCAAGACTGTGCAGTCTTTTTTTCCCCTTGAGTCTAAGCAGCCAGCACACTTTTTAAAAATTTTAGGCTGTTCTTTTGCACACAAATCAAAATGGGTTGCTTTATAGAGTCCCCTTCTGTTAGCAGCTCTGCAGACCCCCTTCTACATTCATGGATCATGCCAGCACGAACAGCCACGGATTTTTCTAGGCGCAGACTTCCCTATGTTCTCCAGCTCCCGCCATGCACGTTTCTCTCTCCTGCTGGGACCACAGACCTTACCTTATCCCATGAAAAATCTGACCATTCCATGAGGGAGTGTAGAGCTCTTTTGAATCCACATGCTTGTGCCACTTGGGGACCGATGTTCTTGGGTTTGCAGCTGTTCTGTGGGGCCGCAGTTGTAGAATCCCCAGGCTTTCCAGGCTTCCAATAACATCCACTTTCCCCTTCAAGATGGCGCGGTCTCTGCATCCAAGCCAGTGGCTCCGGGAGGGAACCCAGTAGCAGTGGGGGCTGCCTAGTCAGGGGAGCCCCATCCAGCAGTCCCCCGAGTCTCCTGGAGTATAGCTGTCCCTCAACTCACCAACAAACATTCCCTGTGCACTCACACACTCTCCTTTTGTTTTCTCATTCACACACTATCTTGCAGTCTGTCTTCCCGTCAGCAGCCATCTTCTTCCTCTTTCCTCGCCTAGCAAATGCTGGCCCAGCCATATAGCTCAGTTAGTTAGAGCGTTGTCCCAACATGCCAAGGTTGTGGGTACAATCCCTATTCAGGGCACATACCAGAAGCAACTAATGAATGCATAAGTAAGTTATACAACAAATCGATGTTTTTCTTTCTCCCTCTCTCCTGTCCAATCTCTCTCTCTCTCACTCTCTCTAATCAATAAAGAATAAAATAGATCATAGCAAACACTAACTTTAAAAAAATTATAATAATTTGCATGTAATCATGTTAAGGCATAAAGCATATCTTAAATCAGGTTTTCTCAAAATATAGTCATCTGTGGATTATCTGAACAAATTTTCCATATCTGCATATAATATGCAATACCTCATCACTTCTGTTTTAACCAGGAACAATATAATTATCTTAACACATATTGATGGTATCAATACAATCATTAAGTAATGCTTTGGAGACTGATTAAGTACACCATGTAAGATACTAGAAATAAAAACAAGATTCTTATCAATATTACTTTCCTACATAGGTTTAACATATGGCATTACTATGAGAATTTAGATCCAGACTTACAATTCTCATAAGGAATAAAACTGAAGTATCAAAATATTGCCCCAAAATATTGGTGGAAAAGAAATATGGGTACGTATTTGTTAGTGAAAAAAAATGAGTTTTTAAGTAGCAATGTTCACATTTTTATTGAGTGCTAAAAAATATATGTTTGCAAATGGCAGAATTGGGAAGCAAAAACTTGAACCTGATTTTTAATCATAATTATCTGTCACCAAATTACTCACATCCAGCCTTCTGAAGATCTGGAATTTTCTTTCCACCAGACAGGAGTATGTAGTGGAAAATCAGTTGATAACATTAAAAAAATAAAAGAACCAGCATAGTCAAGCTGTCTTAGTCTTCAGGGTTTCTGGATTTCGTCCTTGGAGGAGGTCAGGATCTTCCCAAGGCCTGGGTCCTCGAATATTCTTCCAGTCATCAAAAGCAGACTCCTTTATTTTCTATAGAACCACAAAAATTAAAGTATATAAGAGTCCTGTGGCTTTGATTAGGACATCATGAATGAATGAATGAATGAATGAATGAGTGAATGGAAAGAATCCAATAGGCCCTTAATTATAATGTTAGCAGCAACAACAAAAAAAATCACTGCATGTAAAGCATAACAACTGAAGAAGTAACATATTTCTTAGGATTTGGAATTTTTCTTACTTGCTATTTATGTAAATGCCTACCTTTTTCTTTATCAGGATAAATTATTCTATTAAATTGGGGGGGGAAAGTGCACATGCTTTATTTTTGAAAGCACAAAGAAAGAGAAGAAGCTAGGAAAACAAAAGTCTGACTGTGAAGGCTGGTCCAGCATAATAATGACTAGCATGGGTTAGCATGAGTGATAGTAGTAGATGAGAGGAAAAGAACAAAGGTGGAGACCCTGAAGTATGCTGGAAGGAAAAGAAACATAGACCAAGATGATTTGTCCTGCACCTGAGAAATGAGCATGGATTTAAGGATGAAAAGACATTCCTTATAGCTGCCATGAGCAAAACTCTTTCAGGTAATAAAAACTAGTCAACTACAGTTGGATCCCTGTATCTTTAGTTATTGTGAAGTGTCTCCCAGGAATAAAAGTAGGATAAAAGGGAAGAACATGAGTTTCTTCACCTTCTTGCAGTAACTTTCATTTATCTGCTTTCATTGTTCTGGAGTAATTTAGTGAATTAAATAGAAAAAGAGGCTCAGAGAACACAGGCCACCTTATGTCCAGAGACAAGAAATAACATATGTTTACAATGAATTCTAAGCTTTATTCTTTTACTAATGAACTGTATCACCTTGGACTATCTGGGCACTAATTCCCTCATATTCATAAGTAATAATAGAACGGTTGGACCAAATGATCTACGTGGTTTCTTCAGTTAGCAATTTATAGCTTTCTAAAAGAACTAAAATCTACTCTGAGACAAACCCTCCACAGAATCATTACTGACCTAGTGCTTATATATTGAGAAGTAGAAAGTTATAGTTTTAACAAAATAAGAGGGAAGTAGTGAATGAAATCATTCTTTAAATTTCACTTATAGTTTTATCAGGAGTTTATATTAGATATAGATATAGATATAGATATAGTTATAGATATAGATGAGCAAATTTTTATTAATTTAATGTGCAAGAAAAAAAGTAAATTTTCAAGTATAGTTATGAAATGATCCATTTATAAAAAGATTTTAAGAAAGGATAATGGTCTTCACCCAGATAACGTAAGACACACATGCTTAAGATAATTTAAGAGTAATTCTTAGATGGGATGCAAAGTTGACAGAACAGCCGAAACCGGTTTGACTCAGTGGACAGAGCGTCGGCCTGCAGACTGAAAGGTCCCAGGTTCGATTCCGGGCAAGGGCATGTACCTTGGTTGTGGGAACATCCCCAGTGGGGGGTGTGCAGGAGAGAGCTGGTCATTGATTCCCTCTCACAGATGTTACTAACTCTCTATCCCTCTCTCTTCCTCTCTGTAAAAAATAAATAAAATGTTTTTCTTTTAAGTGTTATTTAAAAAAAAAAAAGTTGATAGAACAACTTCATGTAAAAGTGCTCCAGTCTTCAGAGATCTTTGGAGAATAGAAGATTCCCTATAGGATTCTGCAATATACACAGCATAACTGATTTTTCAAAACACATAGTCACTGAAGTTTAGGCTATACATGTCTGAGCAAGATCACCTAAGGCTCACAAATTAACAGCCAACTGCTATAGAACTGACTGGGGATCAGAGTCAAGAAGTACTGAGGAAAAGCTGTGTAAATATTGGGTTTTCAGCCCTGTCAGAGAGACTTAATACCTAGTTGCTACCTTGACATCCAGTTGAGATCCCAAAAAGACTGCTCTTTAGAAGTAAGAATTATGCCAAGAGGAAGACCTACTTTGTACTCACCCAACAAAGCTTAAAACCAAGTAAGCTCCGACAAGATCCTTTGAGGGGACAATTTGGAGAATGAGACTACAAAGAGGGGTTTAGGAAATACCACAGCCTTTCCACAGTTTCTCCCTTATAAAGCATAAACTAAGTTCAAAATGATCAGCCAATAATTAAATTGCCTGCTAAAAGTTCAAATTTCTTCAATGTATTATTCACAATGTCCACCTTTCAATAAAAAATGTCCAAACACACAAAGACATGGAAAAATACAGGGGCAGACAAAAGGTTTACATAGTACAGATAAATAATACATTAATCTATATATATAAAAGCCTAAGCAACCGTTATGACCAAACTGGAACCAGTCGACCAGTCACTATGTTGCGCACTGACCAACAGAGTCCCCCAGTCCCCTACTTTTGCCTACCCTTGTATAATCCAGCCAAAAAAATGAACTAAAAAAGATAGAGAACATCTTCCCTCACATTCTATATTACAAGGTAATACTTATTACTCTTTGATTTTTTGCTAATAAAATTGGTAGAAAGTGACACCTCATTATAATTTTAACTAACATTCCTATTATAAATTGAGCATCTCTTCATATGTTTAAGAAATATATTTATTTTCCTTCCCCTGAATCTTTTTTAAAATATATTTCTATTGATTTCAGAGAGGACAAGAGAGGAAGAGATAGAAATATCTTAGATAGAAATTACAGGGAATCATTGATCAGCTGCCTCCTGCATGCCCCCTGAGGATGGAGCCCACAAGCCAGGCATGTGTCCTGATCGGAATAGAACCGTTGACCTCCTGGTTCATAGGCTGACACTCAACTATTGAGCAATACTAGCCAGGCTCCTCTGAACTCTTTACATGCTTTGCCCATGTTCCCATTGACCAAGTGAATGGCTGAACTTTTCCACATTAATTTGCATACGTTCTTCATATTTCAACTAGAGTACAGGTGCATGAAAATTCATGCTCTGGACAAAGGGTCCTTCAGCCCGGCCTGTCCCTTTTCACAGTCCGGGAGCCCTCAGGGGAAGGAGATGACCTGGCGGATCAGGAGAAGGCACACCCCATCACACCTCTGCTGCTGCCACTGCCGGCAGTGCAAGCCTCGGCTGGTCCTGATTACCTGAGCCTTGGGCAGCCCTGGATGGCTAGGCAGCCACCATCTGAGGCTTCTCTGCACCTCAGGCCGGCCCTGTAGGGGATTGGTGACTCTGAAGTCAATAAAAATATATATTTTTTAAAAAGATAAACAATTTTTTCTGCACTGTTAATAATTTAAGTTTACCTTAAGGCAGACAGAACCAGTCACTAAAAAAGAAGACTGTTAAAGAGAGACTATATTAACACTGTACCTCATACTCTGATTCCAATGACACTTGATTCATTTTCAGTTTTTTTTCTAATTCAGGATCAATCTGTAAAAAGAGAAAGAAAAGCCACATATTAAGTCTGCAGAATTAATTTTCAATTTAAAGTTATATAAGGGACGGCTAGGATGGCATTGAAGATTATAAACACATGGCAAAATATCCACCATCCATCCATCCATCCATCCATCCATCCATCCATCCATCCATCCAATCGCATAACAGTAACTGATGTAGTAGTACCACTACCACTACTAACAGCAGCTAATATTTACTGAGTACTTATTATGTGCCAAGCATTTTGGGACATACAATATTACCTCTTTTAATCCTCACAAAAACCTGAAATAAGAATGATTATTATGATCACAAGTAAGGTTAATAGGACACAGGGAATTGGAATATTTTGTCAAAGAGTCAGAACTTGACTCTGAACCTTGGCCCTCTGCCTCCAGAGATACATGCTATTAACCACCACCCTAAATTATTACTTAGAAATGTTATAAAAATAAATAGAATGTTGCTCTTAAAAACAAGAGAACACTTTCAATATGCTGTAAACAAAGAACTATCTATGAAAAAATTCAACGGGAGTCCACAGTAATAAATAGGAGTTGACGCCATAGTACCTGTGTATGGCAAAATCTTTGGGACAGCTGAATATGACTGAACATAGCTTAAGATCAAATTAGTACTAGAAATACAACCTGAGGATTACACTCGAATGATGCACAAAGAAATGGGATGAATAAAAGAAAAGGTATATTATGAAAGCTAGATGCAAAAGTTCCAACATACGTCTATTAGAGGTTTCAGAATTAGAGAGTAAAAGAGAATGGAATAAAGGCAATAATTAAATAATTAATCAGTATTTAAATGAATAATATATAGAAAAAAATAAGTCCTTAGACTGAAATACCACAATAAAAGAGAGCCATAAGAAAATAAACAAAAACCCATTCTTAGTAAAATAATAGCAAAGTTTTAAAATATTAAGGATAAAAAGAAAGTCTGAAAAGAAAAATAAGAATGAAAAAACAGCTTATTTACAAAGGGATGAGAATTAGAAAAAAGACTGTTGATCAGCAATTTAAAATGCTAAAATAAAATGAAAGTATTCTTCAATATTCATTATCAAGAGATTACTTTGAACCTCAATTTTACTGTTACTATATTTTCATTTCTTCTTTCTTGGCTTCTACTTGATTGAGGTTTTCTCTATCACCGTTTTGAGAGGTAGAAATGCACACAGCATATGAATAATTCTAGGAAATATTGAATTCATCTATTAAATAGTTTTTTTCAGACTGAAATTTTTAGAAATCCAGCTATATACCATACTATTTATAAGAAATGTAGTTAAAAAATATTGAAAACACAAAGTTGAAGGCAGAAGACCACAAAAATGATGCAACACAAAAAAATACTACTGGGGCTGAAACCGGTTTGGCTCAATGGATAGAGCGTTGGCTTGGGGATTGAAGGGTCCTGGGTTCGATTCCGGTCAAGGGCATGTACCTTGGTTGCGGGCATATCCCCAGTAGGGGGTGTGCAAGAGGCAGCTGATCAATGATTCTCTCTCATCGATGTTTCTAACTCTCTATCTCTCTCCCTTTCTCTCTGTACAAAATCAATAAAATATATATATTTTTAAAAATACTAGTGGGGGTGGGCGTTCAATACATAGCAATATTTTTAATGGACAAAAGTTTCAAGGCAAACAGCATCAAAAAAGAACACTTTATATTGATAAACGCAACAATTTTTCAAGATGTTAGAATTATAAAATAATTCTAACTGCTTTGAAATTTACACAAGAAATACAAAAAAAAAAAAAAAAAAACATACTATAGGAGCTTAACATATCTTTCCCAGAAAGTAATAAATTAAGCAGATGATAAATATTATTTTTTAAAAGTGAGAATAATTATGTTCTTTTTCTAATAGGTCTATACAGAATTTTGAACCCAACAAAGTTAGATTGCTATCATCCCCTCAAATATACACACTAATGTCATATAACTGTTCCCACTCCCCAAACATCCTTCTTTAGCTGAAGATGTACTTAAGGTGATGGCTTGGACCATTTTGGGAAAAGTCTTACTAAGTTTTTCTGGGTATCTCCCATGTATTCAGGAGGTATACATATTATTAAACTTCTGTTTGTTTTTCTCTTGTTAATCTGTCTTTCAGGGAGAATCTCATCCAAGAACCTGAAAGGGTAAAGGAAAAATTATTTTCCTCCCCTACAATTGATTCAATCACTCTGAAAAAATAGTTTAGAAATTATATACATACCCTATACCCTAGCAATTCTTTTTTTGTACACATGCAACAAAAGAAACAAATAAGATTGTTCAGAGCAGCATTATTTTCACTAGACAAAAAAAATACAAATCAACCCAATTGTATATCAGGTAAAATAAATAAAAAATTATAATAGAAATGTACTTAAAAAATATTGGAATACCATCTGGCAATGAAAGAATTATGGAGTCAGCAAGTATGGTCCATAGACAAAATCTATTGTAAAAATTAATAAAAAGAAACCTCATTTAAAATCAAGTTGGAAAACCAGAAGGGGTAACTCTCAGGATCCACACTCATCATGAAGCCCAACAGAAGTCGTCTGTTTATAATAGTTCTCCCAATTTCCTCTTTTCCTCCCAATCTCAAATTCTTTTTTCTATATTTTGTAGTATGATCCGTTTTGGTTAACTCCCTAACCCAGTTGTAAGTGTCCTTCCATCTGCCATTAAAATAACAATTATATATATATACGTGTGTGTGTGTGTGCATATATATATGTATTTAGAAGGAAAGAAGAGGAAGAGAGAGATAAAAACATCAATGATGAAAGAGAATTATTGATTGGCTGCCTCCTGCATGCCCCACATTGGGGATCGAATCCGCAACCCAGGCATGTGCCCTGACCAGGAATTAAACTGTGACCTCCTGTTCATAGGTCAATACTCAATCATTGAGCCATGCTGATCCAGCTAGCTTTCTTTTTCAGAGATGTCTGGATCATACTGGCATTGGTTATTATTATTTTTCTCATTTCCATTATCTGAATCTTAGAAAACCTGGTCACAATATTTATAATGTTAAAAATTAAACTAGCACTTTTCTTACAAAGTACAGCAAACAAAGCAAAAAAAAAAAAAAAAAAAAAAAAAAAGACTGGTAATGCTCAGAATTACAACACACTTAATGGCACACTTCTATCGTATTACTTGGCATGATGCAATAATGGATGACCTATTATTACAAATCCATGGTTGTCAGCATTAGGAATCGGGAGATAAAAGAGCAATTGCCACTAAGGAAGGCAGATAAACTATGTCATATCTATTTCACACTAAAAATTTGACAGCTATTGCTTTCAGTTTATTTTCTTAGCCCATCTCATGGTATCTATTTTTTTTTTTTTTCTAATTAACCATTTGCCTGCCATAAGCATCTATAGACCAACTTTAAAATCATTGTTTGTGAGAATTTTCAACCAAAAACATTCAAGATCACCCGAATTGTAATATATTTATTTTTATAGTATTTATTGTAAATTTTTAAAATTAAATTCAAAATATCATGGCATGTGGGAATGGTTTCCATTTTGGACATGTGGCAGTTAACTGTTTAAAATAATTTATTTTTTAATTATAGTTTATACACTTATTAGTTTCTGCTTTACAACATAGTGATTCCAACATTCATAAACCTTACAAAGTGATCACTGCAATAAGTCTAGTAACCACCTGTCACCATACATAGTTATTACGATATTATTATGATCTCATGGCTAGATGGGCCAAGACATTCTAAAGTTCTAGAAAACTCTGTTCCCTATGCTGTACATCCCATCCCTGTGTCCTCTCATTGCTTCTTTTCTTCCCTTTCAACCTTCTATATACATGACTAAAAAGCAGGAACTTTTATGTCCTGGGATGCTGGAGTTTCAGTCCTAAAATCAGGACAGTTCCAGGCAAACTAACATGGCTGATTATCCTGAACCAATACCATCTTTATCCATCCCAAAACTTCTCTACTGAACTTATCTTCTCTTGCTTCGTCTCAACCAAATATGTCCTCTTAACCCCATTTTTTACCCTCCTTGACTTAGGTTTAACCTCAGCAAACTCGCCCTCTTGACTCCCCTTGATTTCAATTCATGTAGCACCTGTCAATCTCAACCAATTTTATCCACCTCATCCTACCTACCGTTTGAACACAACCTCACCCAAACAATGACTCTTGACTTCACCTCAGTTTGACTTCTCAACATCAACCTCTCAGTCTCAGTAGTTCTTGACCTCTGATCCTTGTCACCTGAACTCTGTCCTCTCCCTCTCCTTTCATAGGCTGTGACCAATTATACCTCCCATCCTGTACTCCCCTTGCTCTCTTAACCTCCAACAACCTTGTCTCTCACTTCAATCAATCCTTTTCTCTCAACTGTACCTTTGTTCTCTTTACTTTAACCCTATCTTCTAGACCTCATTATCCCAATCTCCCTCTTTGTCTTTCCTTAACTGAGTGATGACCATCACCATTTATTGAATCCTCATAACCAAAACCTCTAATCATCTAAGGTTTATTCATATTTTTTATATTATGTACATCAATCACATCAGTAACCAAATACTATCAATTTGCTGCTAAACTTTTTTCTGAAACCCTTTATTTATTTCTTGATTGTACATGTTTTATTTATTTCAGGTTCCCTTATTGTTCATCTATACTACTGCCAAACAACAGGTCTCTTCACCTCCAGTTGAAATAATCTCTTCTCTCCATCTTGCTCCCTGAAACACCATCATCCATCCTGTCCTCTTGTTACAGGGGAGTTATTTCCAAGATGAAAATTTGACCATATGTCTAATACTCCCTCCCCTCTGTGCTATAGAATAATAATCATTTCTACCATTCAGCTCTTACTCATTCTTAAAACTTTAATTCAAAGGTTGATACCTCTAGAAAACCTTTCTGAATACCCTTCCCAAGTCTAAACTGAAGTTCTAGTAATGTTTTACACAAAATCTTAATATAGCATTTTTCTCAGCATCTATAAATATAAAAGCCTAATATGCTAATGGCCCTTCCAACCATTTGACCAGTACTATGACATGCACTGACCACCAGGAGGGCAGATGCTCCAACCAGTAGGTTAGCTTGTTGCTGGGGTCTGGTGATCAGGACTGGGCGAGAGGGGTTGGACATACTCTGGAGCCCTCCTGTGGACCCCCTCTTGCCCCAAACATGCACCAGTAGGGTCCCTCAGCCCCGCCTGCATCCTCTAGCAATCCTTCAGGGGATGTTTGAGAGTCAGTATCAGCCTGATCCCTGCAGGCCAGGCCCAGGGACCCCACTGGTACACATCTGCAAACTGGGTCTCTAGGTGTTATATGTTTGGGTACATATTTATATTTAGATGTCTTCCAATCTTGATTATGTAATAGGCTTTGTAAGAACCAATTTCTTAAATCTTTATCTATAGGATCTAACATATAATAAATATGATAAATATTCGATTATTTTTCAAATATGTACATGTCTGCCCTGGCCAATGTTGCTCAGTGTTTATAACATCGGCCCAAGCACTTTAGGGTTGTGAATTCAATCCCCAGCTCTGGTCCGGGCACATTCAGAAGGCAACCACTAGATATGTCTCTCTCATAAATCTCTCTCTCTCTTTTTTTTCTTTCTCCCCATTTCTCTCTCTCCCTTCCTCCCTCTCTCTCTAAAAAAAAATCGATGGGGAAAAAAAATATACTTCGGTGAGGATTAACAACAGAAAATGTACATCATTCCACTTCCAAAAGTCAGATTATTATAACTTTCATCTTAAAGCAAAAGGGAAAAAAAATCCTCAATAAAATAATGGGGAATGCTAATAGAAAATTTTTAATTTGGCCGATAAGTGTTCTATTCCCTTACAGAAACCACTGTACCACATACTTTTAAAATGAATGTAATATTTATTCAAAACATATTGTTTTTAAGATTAGCTAGAGTTGATGTTTCTCTTAAAAATCAAAATTAACTGAGAACATCGAATACTCTTTATTTTTGCATCCACGTTACTGATGTCTGCTAATGAAATATATATATTCCTTGGGAAAGAATTTCCAATATCAGATGTGTGTTACAAACAAAAACTACCTACTTCTCAATCAACCATAGTTCTTAAGTAACATTTGGCTTAAATTTGACAGTAATTATGTAACCACAGAGTGTGAGAATACTAGCTCTACCCCTCAACAGCCATGTGACCTTAGACAAGTTATTAAGCTCTCTAAACTTCAGTGTCCTCACCTGTAAAATAAAAACAACCATATACATATGAACCAGTACAGTCCTTCCACAAAGGCATACCTATAAAGATCAGTATAACTATTTATGAAAAACAATTTTTTTAGTAGTTACTAATGATGCAGAGCAATATAATGTATAAAATTATTAGTATTAATATGAAATAGCTAATTTATAACTAAAGTAATAAAATGGAGTGAAATTGTTGGCCCATGTTCTTTAGTCCCTTCTAAATCCTAAAAACAACTATACCAGAGCACGTTGTGGCAGAAAGCTAACAACATTGCAAATTTTCTAGTGAATGAGAAAGATTAGTAAATTCTTCACATTTCATGATTCATTTCCAAGTGATCATTAATGTTATTTTGATAGAGCCCAATCACTAATATATATATATTATATATTATTATATATTATATATATATAATATATATAATATATAATAATATATAATATATAACATATATTATATATTATATATATATATAAAATCAATAATATAATCACTTGAAAAGCTAGATAAAACTCAGACTGCTTTGTATACTGAGTATACACATCTCCTAAACCAGTACATACATATACACAGACATACATCAATCCCAAATACAGTTCTTACTTTAATCTTCACAGCATCATAACGGATTTGTGAAAACTCACGAAGACCAAAAGAACCTCCAACAACCAATAACTGAAACAAAGAAAGGAAACAATTAAACAAAACAGAAGGGCAGAATTCAGTCTACCTGTAGATCACTTATCTAAATGCCAATAGTGACAGATTATACAAATCTTTAGATTATTTTTCCATTCATTTATCAGAGTAGATGCTTTATATACTGTCACTGGGAAACATTTTAGCACATTACCAAATACCAAAACCAGTACCCCATACCTTATGGTTTAAATAATATCATCACAAGCATTATATTAGTTGATCCTTACAAAAGACCCATGAAATAAAGAAAAAAATCCATTTAATAAATGACTTGTTTATTATCATAATGGATATCACCAGGAATAAAATTCTGGTCTTATTTCTTTAGGACCAATGGGAGAGCATTATTCTCCATAATCTTACCAAGCGATAAGAGTCTCATGAAATATGCCATACTTCTCAGTATATGGTCAATCTCAAAAGAGCCCTCAAATTGTCCTTGCTGCTTTATATTCTCCTCCAATAACCTAATGAACTTTAATTCCTCATCCTAAAGCTGCAAAAGTATAACAACTTGGAAAACATTAAGTTTAATCTCTACCTTTCTTTTATATCAAAACCAGTGTCCCAGTACATGGATTTGTGCACAATGAAAGGAAATTAATTAAAAGAAATATTCTAATATCACTATTCACCCTTTCTCTATAATAGAAGTGTCAAGCCAAATTCACGAACAATGACATATTGAAACACATACCCTAGCTGGTTTGGCTCAGTGGATAGAGTGTTGGACTGCAGACTGGAAGGCCCCAGGTTTGATTCTGGTCAAGGGCACATGCTCGGATTGCAGGCTCAATCCTCCAGTTGGAGGCCTGCGGGAGGCAGCCGATCAATGATACTCTCTCATCATTAATGTTTCTATCTCTCTGTCCCTTCCTCTCTGAAATCAACAAAAAAGAAAAAAAAATTTTTTTAAAGAAACACACACAAGTGTTTGGCATCAGTGAGAGTTTTATATGTTTCTTGCATGTGCGAATCAACCTAGCCTTTTATATATATAGAATAAACTTGCTTAATTAAACCTACTTTCTGATGTAGCTAAGCTTTTTTCAGTCCAGTGAAGCAGCCCAGCTTCTCTTCCAGGTAATTGTCAGCCACACAGCAATAAATATCAACACGAAGTATATTATTATTGTAGATTACGCAGAGAGAACAAAGGATAAAATATTTCACTGCAGCAGTGTTTGACTATATTCTGGGCAGTGAGAAAACCTTAAGTCATTTTCAAGGTCCACCATTTCTTACTTCTTTTCAGTTGGGTCAAGTTTCTAAGCTTTCTAAATCTCCGTTTTCCAGCTAATGAAAAGAAAATAGGATTCGACCAAGTCTCCTATCTACCTACTCAAGGACTTCTGTGAGGATCAAATGAGGCACATGAAAATGCTTCACAAATATTTGGTTAAAAAGTGTAAAATGTTTGCACCTGGCTATAAAGCAAGTCATGTTCCTGGGCTGAAGAAACTCTGAGGCTAGTCGCTAGGGAGAGGAAACTGGGTGTTGCTATGTGACGTCATTATCTGGCAACCATTTCCAGACTGAGCTGGGCTGTGGGCCCCATTTTATGCCATAGTGTCTTGGCAACATTGGCTGTAATTTGGTGGGATGTTGCTCTGGGGTGGTGGCGGGGCCTGTATCCCACTTGGGGGAAGCTGAGTATTGATTTGTTGGCGCCCGGTCCGGTGTGCTGTTTATTTTTATGTCCCCACCCGCGGGGCAACAACGGGGGTACGCAGAAACCACCTAAGAGAATGAAACAAACAAGGAATGCAAAGAACGGAGGCAAGACAAAGTTCTGATCAAGCCTCGACTTTATTTTTTGAAATGGCTGAATATATACAGCAGAAACAAAGGGGGGCAGGGTTGCCTATGCAGAGGGGTCTTTGGCAGTGTATAATTGGTTTAGGCACTGAGTGGCAAGGTGGTAAGGTATCTGGCAACACAGGATTGGCTAACTGCCAGGGCATTCCAAGGTGTAACATTCCATGGCTGGGCTATCTATGGGAGAGGATCAGGAAGGGGAAGTTGCAGAGATGCTAAGCAGCAGGTTAATCTTATCTTCTGGCCAAACCCTCAGGGCACCGCATAACTTCTGCTAGAAGAAACTTAATTCTATTTCCTTAAGACGGAGTTGCTTGTCTCAACTCTGATGGCTCCCAACATTTTTAAATGGCCAGTGTGCATTATAGCAGCTCCTGTGTTGAGCGTCTGCCCCCTGGTGGTCAGTGCGCGTCACACCGACTGGTTAAAGGGAAGGATGGACACTTAGCCTTTTATATATAGATATTAATATTACCAACTAAAGAAATACAAACATATATGAAACATCATGACATAAAAAGCTATAAATTTTGAAAATGGAATACCAACAAAACCCAATAAATGACCACATAAAAATTTAAAACATCTATCCCAACAAATACATGAAATTAAAACAACACAGCCCCAGCCAGCTTGGCTCAGTGCATAGAGCATTAGCCCGAGGATGGAAGGGTCCTGAGGACGGAAGGGTCCTGGGTTTGGTTTGGGTTCAGTTCTGGTCAAGGATGAGTACCTTGGTTGCAGTCTCAATCCTCAGCCCTGGTCAGGGCACATGTGGGAGGCAACCAATAGATGTTTCTCTCTCCTATTGATGTTTCTCTCTCTCTGTTACTCCCCCTCCCACTCTAAAAATCAATGGAAATATATCCTCGGGTGAGGGTTAATAAAAATAAAACAACGTAAGTCAAAAGACCACAAATCAGCTATATATCTGTTATATATAATCAGTTAATATTTGCAATGTCAATATGTAAGAATTTTTTGTAAAGTGAAATACTTTTTTATCTCTTTGTTTCAATGTAAAGACACTCCCCTGGTTTTCCTAACTCCTTCCCAGTTTCCTTCTATTCATTCCTCACCTTTACAATCTTCACACCTTCTACCTGTTCACGACCAACACCAAGACTCTGCGTGATGTCTTCCAGTTCCATGGATTTAACTATAGTCCCTTTGACCTAACAACCTCAAATGTACATTTTCAATGGGAAATATCCCCCTGAACTGAAGATCTGCCTTCCAATGGGACATCTCAACTTAAAAGTCTAACAGTATATACAAATTGATTTTTTTTTTTTTTAGACCTCTTGATTTTTACCCCAATACACCCTTTCTGCCCCAACCTGCCCCTAACCAATCTTTCATGTCCCGGAAAAATGTCAATTCCTTTCATCCAACTACTCAAGCCAACTTCTTTGGAGTCATCTTTAGCTCCTCTCATTCCTTTCTCAAATCAGTCCATCCCTGAGCTGTCACCTCAACTTTTCAAAATATTTCTTGAGTCTGACAATTTCTGACTTTTGTCCTTCTCTGCCCACCGGAATCACAGGACCCAAGTTACGGTCTGGTCTTTTCCCGGGTTCCTGGAAGGGAGCTAGTAACTTGGGATTTCCTGATTTCTTTAAAAAATATAAACATCGGCCAAAACTGGTTTGGCTCAGTGGATAGAGTTGGTCTGCAGACTGAAAGGTCCCAGGTTCGATTCCGGTCAGGGGCATGTACATTGGTTGCAGGCACATCCCCAATAGGGAGTGTGCAGGAGGCAGCATGTTTCTCTCTCATCGATGTTTCTAGCTCTCTGTCCCTCTCCCTTCCTTTCTGTAAAAAAATAAAATAAAATAAAATAATATATATATATATATATATATATATATATATATATATTTAAAATAAATAAAATAATAAATAAAAAAAATATAAACATCGACCTTGCAAGGGCTGCTACGACGGGGTAGGCGCTGTGCTGACCACTCAGCTCACAAGGCTTTACCAGATTCCACAGCAGCCTGGGAGAAGCCAGTTCACAAACTGGGACCCTGAAAAAGGGAGGTGCCCGAAGCTGTGCCGTTAAATGAAGTAAATCCGTCTCGTTTGAGTGACCCCGCGTCTCGTCCAGCCGTAGAGGGGAGGGGTAAAGTACAGGCGGTTCAGCAATCATTCAGATTTGGATTACAATCCGGTTCTCGCGTCGCTCCCTGAAGCAGCAGGAATGGAGGGATGGAAGGAGAGCGGACTCGCGAGGCCATTACCCGCCGGAGGAGACGAGAACAGGGCTGCCTCAAAGCTCCAACCTTTCCGAACCCAGGGTACAGCCCCCCGGCTCTCCCGGGATAGGCTGCCCGCTCCCTCCACCCAGACAAGCTTGAGGTCCCACCCCTCCCACAATCCCGCCCCACTCTCTCCTCCCGGACTCACCAACATGGGGACCCCGTAGCGAAGGGTCTTGTTCTTGCGCAAAGCGCGCGTCACCGCGTGTGTAAGCATGACGGGCCCCTCCGACCCGCGTGGACGCCCGGCCAAGCAGGCCCGAAGCGGCCTCGCCGCCGCCTAGCGAATCCCAGGAGTTCAACCTCCCCTCCAGACAGGGACGTCCCGGACTCACCACCTTCCCTTCCCCTCCCGGGCTGGGTCCGCCCCCGTCGGGCTTCCGCCAGACAAAAGCAATCGACTCGTCGTAACATACTTGCGCGTCCGCCCGGAAACTCGAGCACCGGAGCTTTGGTTCCGCACGCTGGCTGGGTATAGGGACCGAAGGATTTGAATGTTGTTTGTACCCTGGGCAAGTGATATGGTAACGGGTACCTCCCACGATCTGAGTCTAAACCAATGTCTTCTCAGAACACTCCCTGGGACTTTCTTTTTTAAGGAAAAAGTAAAGTGGAAGATCGTTTCTCTGGCTATTTGTGGGATGAGGAGTTTACTAGCTTAATATAGATTTTTTAGAAATACATAAATTGTCACAAACGGTTAGGCTGAATGGTAATCGATACAGTGTCGTGCTATCACCGAACCTTTAATGCTTTTACTGTGAAATGACCTGTAATCTTCATTCATGAATGCCAATTCTACAGTCATCCAAACGAGCACACCTTTCTGCAGGTCATTAGAAGGCTCCAGGACCATAAAGATGAAAATATACGATCCCTGCCTTAAAGAAGCTGGCAATCTAACTGGCATTCAAATGAACATGTGTCTAACTGCTGTGATAGTTTAGGGAACCGCCCCCAGGTGCCATTGGCCGGGGTGAGTCAGAGAAAGCCTCACCTACCAAGTACTACACAGTCACTCCAATTTTCTTAGCAAGGAATCTAAGGCCCTTAGTAATATGACTAACTTTGGCCTGTCTTTTCTGCCACTCTTCCTCTTTCACTCCATACTCCAGCCTGGAGGAGATATTATTCCAAGTATTCCATAAACTTCCACATCTTCAAAATGCAGCTTCAGCCCTAACCGGTTTGGCTCATTGGATAGAGCATCCACCTGTGGACTGAAGGGTCCCAGTGAGGCAGCCAATCAATGATCTTTCTCATCATTGTCTCTCTTCTCTCTCTCTCTCTCTCTCTCTCTCTCTCTCTCTCTCTCTCTCCTCTTTCTTCCTGCTTCCTTTCTATCCTCCCTCCTTCCCTCCCTCTCTGAAATCAATGAAAAATATTTTTGTAAACAAGAGGAGAAAGCTATCAATCCTTTCTTATTCTTTCTTCTATCTGCACCCAGTGATACACTATTTTTTGTAACTAGTAGTACGGAATTGTTCCATGAGTAAGTTTTCTACATACATTACTTTTTCTTAAACTCAAGAGACAAGGGCAGTATGGTTGAGTATAAGGAACACAGAACAAAGTTCTGCTTTTGGCTTCAAATCTTGAGTGTTAAAACACAATGACACTAACAAGGGGACAGGAACTTTGCCTCTGTAACGTTCTCTTTTTCCATCTTTAAAACAGGAGAATGATTTCAATCTAATAAGGTTGTGTTTGTTTGTTTTTTAAACACTAAGAGACTTCGACTACAAAGTGCTTGGTGAGCAAAGAATATCACTAGTATTTTTATGTGAGTCCTTGAATTTTGAGTGGTGTCCTGGCCATGCCGGGGGCTCAGTCAGGTCTGACAATGGTCATTCTTCAACTCATTTCCAGAATGACATGAGGGGAAATTTTTGTTGGACTTTCTCTGGCTTTCTTGGAGGGAAAAAGATTTTAAAACACACACACACACACACACACACACACACACACACACACACCTAGAAAATGTGTCAAAGTTCTTCAGTCTGGAACTCAAAAGAGACCAACATTTGGGTGCTTTCTCCTCTAAGATTTACTCCTTAAAGTCCATCGCAACCTGCAATAATCTTTGTTAGTGGTCCTCAAACTCTGGTCTGGCAGGGCCTGCTGCTTTTGTAAGTAAAGTTTTCCTGGAATACAGCCACACTTTTGCTTAGTTACAATCTATTGTTGCTATCACACTAAAACTGCAAAGAACCAAGGCCCATAAGCCTTACATATTTACTATCTGATCCTTTACGAAAAAGTTTGCTGAGCCCTGGTTTTTGCTGTTCAAATTCTAGTTTCTTTCTGCAATGGATTGAAAAGGATCACCAACTCCTTGCACTACCTGCCATCAAAGGGTGGAGTTTAGGGCCTCTTTCATGGTGACTCTGGGCTTGGCCAGGGCTTGGTCTGGTGAATGTGAAGGATGCAAAGCTTGATTAGTGTTTTCCACATTGGGGCTGGCCTTCTAGAAATACTTCCCTAAGACCCCCCTCCCCTGGCCCAGTCTGTGAGGAGCCCGGTCTAGTGGATTGTAAGATGAAAGGCAATGTGGAGAAGAACCAAGGCGCTTAGCTAGTAGCCAGCACTAATGTCCAGGACTACCTATGCTCTGCTCTGCCATCAGAGAAATGCAGCTGCATGTGAGCCCAGGTGCTATCAGGAGGAGAAACACTCAGGCAGCCCATAGAATCTTTTAAAAATTTATTAAAATATTGTTTTAAGTCACTTAATTTTGCAGTGGCTTGTTATATAGTTGATAAATGACATCTGTTCTTCGCCCATCAGGGAGAAGATGGCCATTGTGTACACACAGCAGATACGGATACGCACTTGGATTCCAGGCCTGCACTTCGCTTAAGCTCTGTGACAGAGCCATAATGACCAGAGTAAACTGCCTTTCCTGTTCACATCACAGTCAGCGATAAGCAGAATCAATATTCAGTTCTGACAAATCCTTTTTCATCCTATGTTGCAAACCCATTTCTGCCTCTATGTACCTTTGGGGGATGAAGGGGCCAGAAGTAAGATACTAAAGATTGGCAATTGCCTTCAAACGTTGTATGCAAATACAGAAGAGTACAGCTACTACTATTTTGTGCCTAATGTAGCCAATTCACTATTATGCGGAATGGAAGGCTGAGCTATCATGGTTCAGTAAACTAAACCTTCATTTTCTGGATTGCTGAGAAGTGAACTCCTCATTGGCTTTAAGTATTATAAATTCCCAGATCTGGAACTAACTAGCTATGTATCATGAGTAAGTTAACCTCTTTAAACCATGAGTTACCTTATCTGTAAAATGGGATTGCTGATACTATGTTGCATAATTGGAAGACTTTCTTTATCTTAGTTATGCAAAAGAGCACCCAGGGCAGTACCTAGCACCATGGAGACCCGGGACAGTACAGGGCCATGGTTGTGAATGCAGGTTCTAGGTGTATGACTTGGGTGGATTAATCTCTCAATGCCTCGCTCATCTCACTGTAAAATGGGAATAGTGACAACAGTTGTTGTGAGGCTTACATAACACATGCTTAGGACAGTAGCTGAAATGTTGAAAAGAGTTCAATAATTGTGAGCCAGTTAATAGTGGTACATGATAGTGCCTTTCCTTATCCCCTTAATCAAAGCTAAGCTCAAATTGATCACTTTGGTTTTTCTTTCCTCTTTCCATTGTTTTGTCAGAGGCACTACCCTTAAGAAGTTGGCAAAAAGAAATTCAGTAATCTCCAAAATAAAGTGGAAAAATTATAAAGACCACTGACAAGTGCAACAAGTTTTTATTAAATGCCAATATTGAGTGAGGCACAGTTGAATTTTATTTGCTCTATCTGGTATCAAATAGCAAAACTTAGGAAATTATCACCTACTTGACGACCTCACTAACATATTTAATCTGTAGTTATATTCTCTAGAAGATAGTTTTATGACCATGTATCTTCCAAGATGCTACAGGGTATCTACTTGCTATTTAGATCCGGGAATGCAATGTGACACTAGGATCAAAGTAGAAATAAAGCAAAATAAAATAAGGTTCATAAAGAAAATAATCTTAAGAACTAATATGGCCCAGGGATAAAAATGCACAAATATCCAGCAATAATAATTTCATATTCAATTCAGCATTGCAAATACAGAATTAAAATGGAATTGTGTGATTCCATTTGCCAATCTGCAAAGGAAGAATTATTCAACTTTCCTGATTGGCATTAAATACATTTAATAATTACAGTAACTACAAAGTTCTTTTGTACATGACTCTGTTAATGATCGATTTGCATCTGAAAACATTACCCAATCCTCTCCCTTTTCACTCAGCAAAAAGAACATGAACAGTAAGGACAACATTTAAAGAAACAAGACCTGGTGTTCGGTATAACTTGATTCCTTAGACACAGCAATATATTCTTGTATATTATTACATTATCATTAAATGCATCAGGTAAGAGATTAGGTGCTTTGTAGCCCAAATATAAATATCAACATCAGGCAAGAGTTTGTGGCAGTTAAGAACCTGGTTCCAATCAGAACAGAATTCCTTAAAATTCTGGCTCCCTTTTTATCACAATTACCCTTTTAAATGTAAATGCTGATTCTGGTCTCTAAGATTTGCAGCAAAAGGAGCTTACCCAAGATCATAATCACCTCCCAACTTATTAAAGCTGAGAGATAAAGAGTTTCATAACTCAATATTCTGCTTCTTGGTGATGTTAGAAAAATAATTTAACATCAAGATCACCAATAAATACCATCACTTTCCAATAATGAAATTTTAGCTTAAGAGTGACTATACGTTATCTTTGTATCTTCAGCACCTAGCATGCACTCATTTGCTGAGGGAAAAGAAAACCCTCATCTGTACAAAGATAAGTTTGGCTAGATTTGACTACAATAAAATCTTTATTGGCTCCACATGAAATTATATCTTAACTTGCTTATTTACACAATAAAAACAATGTCCAATGTCAAAAAACATACTTCTCTAGAACTACTGAAATTTGTCTCAGAAGAGCTCATTTAATTGAATTTGATGTTAGATCTTTCTCAGATTATTCTATGGCATCTCTCAATTATGCATGAAGCTTGCAACACACTTGTATAGTCAATCAGTTCCTTTGGTCTTTATTTAAGACCCAAAGAGAGAAGATGGAAGTGGATTGAGATAAAAAAAAAAGGGGGGGGGGGAGTTTTGTATATGTTCATGTAGTGGATATATTCAAGATATAAAGATGAAATAGAAAGAGCACTTAGGCAACAAAGCAAGGGTGTGATCTGTGTTAAGTGAGCTCACCTCCCTGAGCCTTGTCTTCTCATCTGAGACAAATACATCCTAGCATCTTCCTGGTTCCTTCTGCTGCAGTGTTCTAGTTTGCCTCTGATTGAACAGGTGCACAACCTGAAACGCCACTACATTTTGCTGGAGGTTGATCAGTCATTAGCAAATGAGAAGCCAACAAATGTTCTACTTCTTATTCCATTTATACTTTGGGCAGAAGCTCATGGAGAGCTCGACTCTAAAAAAGCCCAAGTGGCCTGGCCAGCATTGACCAGGAATCAAGAGGTCACCAGTTCGATTTCTAGTCAGGGCACATGCCCGGGTCATAGCCTCGATCCCTAGGAGCGGTAATCAATGATTCTCTCTTATCACTGATATTTCTCTGTTTAAAAATCAATAAAACACATTTTTTAAATAAAATAAGTAGAGGGGAAATTGCAATATAAGCTTCCATTTTAAGAAAAGAAAATGAAAAGGCCCAAGTGAAATCCTCATTTTTGGCTAGAGCCATGTCAGTATGTAACTTAAATGGTGTCTGGGTTTAAATGCCATGGAGTATTATTTGTTTTGTGGTTTTCTTTGTGTTTTTTTCTTTGTTTTTTTTTTACTGACACTGCATACTAGAATCACCTGGTAAACTTTATTTTATGATGCCTGACTTCCACACCCAGAGAGTCTATTGAATTGGCATCAGAATTCTTGTAAGCTCTCCAGGTGATTCTAACCTGAGAAAATGGGGATATTTATTGGCATTCAGAAGTTATTGTTAAACTTTAGCTGAATCCATCACTTGGAGGGATTATTAGATTGCTGGGTGCCCTATTTAGTTTCTGAATCAATAGGTGTGGGATAAAGCCCAAGAACTTGTTTTTCTAGCAAGTTCTTAGTGATGTTGATGCTGATACTTTTTAACCAGAGACCTCACTTTGAGAACCACTGCAGTGAGGAAATATCACTGATGGTGGCACCTTAAGACCTGAGTTTAAACATTGATTCTATTACCACCTATGCAATCTTGGAAAGTAATTTTATTCTCTTTAGTGTCTTTATAACAATACTTAGATTTCAGAGCTGTGAGGCATGAACCAATAGTGTTACCAATCAGGGTTTAGTACAGTACCTGGCACAAATGCAGTAACAAACATTAATCTCCCTTTTCCATTACACATGACTAGAAGATGTGGTTAATTAAGTTAACAGCACAGATTAAAACTTGCAGGAAATGAAAATAGACAATTGAAGCAAACAATGTCTTATTAGGATTATATGTACAATATAGGATGATATAGAGAAGTGTTCTAAGTACATGGCCTTAAAAATACTTTTTTTAAAACTTTGAACACAATAATTTAGGTAGTAGAAATAATACAATCTATAAAATGGCAGGAATATTCAATTCAATTCATAAAGAACATGGATTTTTTTTTTTTAAAGACCTACAATGGATTCTGACATCTAAAATGTAGTCTTCCAGAGAATGAGAAATACAAACATAGCACACCTGCCTAAAATGTTAATATATTGATCTTTAGATGCTATTTAAATCCAGGTAAAACCAAAATTAAAATGCATCAGAATCCCTATTATCGACCAAAGCAAAATTTCTACCAGAGATGGGATAGGTGTTCTCTTTATTTACATACACCAACAAATAAGGATAGAGTGAGCTTTCCTTCCTGCTTGCCCTCTGCTTCGTTCAGTATGTATGTCTCAGGTCCTCTCAAGAGTGAATGTGCACACCCTGCAGTGAACCCTGGGAGGCCAGCAGGCCCCTACAGAAGTGAAATGGCTACACACACTTCAGGTACAGGGAGGACCCTGAGACTGAGCCTCCACAGTGGGCAGATTGAGGTGAGAACTGGAATACTGTCAGTGTTTCTCTGAGGAATGTACAAATGCCAATTGTCTCTAGGTGAACAGTTCAGGTTTAAAGGCATAAGTCACATCAGGATTGTTTAAAGCAAGTTTCTCCCTATAGGAATAGTTGACCCAGAGGCACGGTCTTACTGGGATTTTTACTTTGAAAAGCCTTCCCTTTCCACTCTGGCCTGGTGTCTTGATGCGGTAGCTTTCTTTTTTCTGAATACCTTTTAAAAAAATGTGATGGCTGCATTGTGTTGTGCATAGTACCATTTCTTTTATTATTGTGTTCAACTGTCACTTAACCTGATAACATGTGACTTTTTCTAACTAGACTGTGAGCTCCTCAAGGGTCCTTAACTTGTCCCCTTCCTCCAGGGATCTTTCTCAATGATAGTTGCTCAGTTCTCAGTAACTGTTCCCTGTGGCACCAAACTTACATTGCCCTGACTATGCAGATTCCATTTTTATGGATATAGGTTTGGTTCCCAACTGGAACAAACAAAAAAAACCTTTAGGATGGAGGCAATATGTATTTCCTTTCTTTGTAAAAGTGTCTTAAAGCTGATGTCCAATCAACATTTATAAAACACTTGTTAGATCACCTATGCTAAAAAATAAACACAACTGCTTGCCAGAGGGGAAGTCCTCACACTCTTGTTGTCAAGATTGTATGGACAAGGCCTACAGTCTAGCTAGTATGTTTGGAAGATGGAAATGGTTTTCTTAAAGCCAGGAAATTAGGCTTGCTTCAGCTCTCCTTACTGCTTTAAAGCCACCCTTCAATACCACTGACACAGGACGGCTCCCACCTCATTAACCTTAGTATTCCCCAACATCCATTCATCTGCGTCTTTCTCTCAAGGTTTCCCTAGGAAACCTCCCTCCCCCTAAAACAAACAAAACTCTTTTCTTCCCCTTCCCTGCAAAATGGTTCAATCATTAAAACCATAACCAGTGTTTCGTGGTTTGTTTTTTTAAATAAATATACTAGCAATCCAAACTCTCTAAACTGAACTGAATCAGAAGCAAGGCTGGTTTCATGCCCACCCTGCCGAGAGCAGTTTCCTCACTCAGAGTTTGCCTGTTATCAGCCCCTGGAGAGGGGGGGTTCAGGCACCACCTCGGAGGCACTATCTTTTTCCTCTTTGGAGTTTTTTTACTACGTTGTTTTGGCCCCATCACTACAGCTCTGACCACAATCATTCCGGCTGATCCTTTCACAGGCTGTGAGGTATCAAAAAAGTCATTAAGATAGGCCAGAGATTGGTAAGATTGATCTCTAAACCTTGAAAGTTTTCTGACAGATTGACTTGCGCAAAGATGGATTATGACATTTTGCCTCAACTTCACCTTAACTGTTATGAGAAATAAGAATTCTAAGACTTTAAACTAGTTGCTTCAGTTTCCTTCCTTTTTCTTAGGACTCAAACTGGACATCCTGTCGGGCTCACTCTCTTATTCCCTCAATTAAGGTATTACCCTTCCACCAGAAATCTAGAAACCAGAGCAGCTTCCTACCTCTTCAACTCTCCATAAGGCTTCACTATTATACTATCATTTATGCATATATGTGTATACATGTGTAAATATATATATTTGTTTTTTAAAAAGTAAAAATGGTCTCCTCGTTGTATTTTGTTTGATATAGGCACCCAAGTATGTCATTAGAAAGTAAATAAAGGCCACAAAAATTTCCCAAGGAAGATCATTAGAAAGAAAAATCCTCTCTTCCTCTTATATCGCACAGCTGGCCTTTGAGGCAAGCCAGCTAAGAAAACACGTATCACCATGGTGACGGGAAGACTGGACTTTTCCCTTTGGTTGCAGCTGATTCTATTGGCGGTCCTAGTAAAACACATAACTCCTCATTTGTCCTAAGCAAGTCTTTCTTCAGCTTTCCTTCAAACAAAGCCTTTACTCTCCCATCAGAAAACAAGGACTTGGAGATTTTGAAGAGCCAGGTTCTGGTTGGGAAGCAGTCTCTTTAAATCATGTGTGAGCTATGCAGAGAGAGGGCAAGAGACGGAGAATGGCAGGGGAGGAGGAGGAGAGAAAGGAAGAAATATTATCTTCATCAGGAGCACTGGAAGAAAGCGAGCTTTTCAAAGTTATTGCCGGTATCTCATCAAGGCCCAGGCTCCCAGCATGGTGAGGGCAAACAGTGGCACCAGCACCACAGGCATGGGAATACCGCTCGGCTCCCCTTCGCCTCGATGTCCTAGGGGGCCATTTTGCACCTGTAACTGGAAGGGAAAGAAAAATGTTAACTCTAGTGAATAATGTGCGTTTACCACAACTGAAATGTCCGGGTTGACACATTACCAGGGTCTATGAACTCTAGACTACCCAAAGCTGCAAACCCAAGCACTATCTAGCAGAGTGTGTCCTCTTGGTTTGTCCTCACTATATATGCCAATGTCACTGATTCTTCGGAAACAAAGTAAGTCTGATGGGGAGACATTTGCCTTTTCTGTGCTACTGACCTAAAGGAACCCCTGGGAATAAGCCAGATATCCTCTTCCTGCTTTTGTACTGCTTCCACCAAGCTACATGTGTATCAACTCAGGAAATGAAGATATGAGATGAAATCCACAGATCCTATAGGAAACCTGAAAATTATTGGGCGGGACAGGGGGATGTTTACTTAGAAAGAATCAGTCAGTAGAGTGCAATAAGAGCAGATCTGAGCAATGTTTATTTAAATTATCTGTTATATAAGCTGAAACTGGTTTGGTTCAGTGGATAGAGCGTCGGTCTGTGGACTGGAGGGTCCCGGGTTCCATTCCGGTCAATGGCATGTACCGCGGTTCGGGCACATCCCCGGCAGGGGGTGTGCAGGAGGCAGCTGGTCGATGTTTCTCTCTCATCGACGTTTCTAGCTCTCTATCCCTCTCCCTTCCTCTCTGTGGAAAATCAATAAAATATATTTAAAAAAATAATAATAAATTATGTTATATAAGCATAAAGTGCATAAGGGGTAATTCCATTATTTCCAACTCAAAAGGCACCCCACTCCCTCCTAAGATGAGGTTGTGTCCTCCCTCCCCTATTTTGTGAACTGGACACAAATAAAAGTGAAACCTGTATGGAATGGAGGCAAAGAGAATCAGGGGTAAAGAAGTGAGAAGATATCACATCCACACATCAGTTTAAGAGAGAATAACTTTAAAGACACACCAAACCTATGTTGCAAATGCCCCCAAAATCTTCGCTACGGGAGAAATTATGTCTGCAGGCTTCTCTTCCCATCATTCACATTATAAGGCACTAGGAACGAAGAAGCGGGTACAGGGATAGGTGCTGTCTTGACTGAATTCTGGATTCCATTTCCGTTTTCCTGGAGCTCAACTTTGATCACCAGAGCTTTGGTCAGGAGAGTCACCAAGTGCTCATGGAGGTAATAGGGAAAAGCACACAGTGGGTAGGTATGAGAAAATCTACCATCTTTGTATTTAGAGTTTTACAAACAATGTCCAATGGCAGATATGTTTTCCTTCCCCACTAAAAAAACTGATTGTGGTTGTATACTCTCCCCATCCCATTTATTTCAATTTGGTTGTCAAGCTTTATCTTTAAAACTAGGACCTGGGTTGCAAAAATACTGTCACGAATGTCTTTTGATGATGCGCAGAGTTCCGGAAGACCCCTGCCAGACAAGATCTTCAAAAGAGTGGGAGAAAAATATCCTAACACACCACTGAAGATTACCCCACAGGGTTTATTCACAATGGCACAAATGCCTGGGGCCAGGGGCTGGCTGCAGAGGACGCAACACCTACCCTGTGCTGTACTTTCAGGGATACAGCATAGCCTGCATTACGGAAGAGGTTCACAGCATCCTGGTGCAGCAGGTTCTTTAGGTCTTGGCCATTTATCTGTTGAAAACAGCAAGAAAAAGAAGTAAGAGTCAGAATGGAAACTCTCTGAAGTCAAATATTTACTTTGATGTAATCAAACATTTAAAAAAACAACCCCTACAGAGCAAATTCCAAGATTTAGGAGAATGGATAAAGTCAACTCAGTGTAATGTTTTTCATTTTCAAGGCTATGTTTTCCTAAAACTGAGTTCCATGGACCTCAGTTTGAAGAGCACTTAAGTTTAAATTAAAATTAAAATAAAACAAATAAAAATGGTAGTCTTGGCCTGGCCAGCATAGCTCTATGGTTGAGTGTCAACCTGTGAACTAGGTGTCACGATTCAATTCCTGGTCAGGCCATACCTGGACTCAACGCCCAGTGTGGGGTGTGCAGGAGGCAGCCGATCAATGATTCTCTCTCTCCCTCTCCCTTCTTCTCTGAAATCAATAAATAAAAATGTTAAAAAAATAAGTATTTTTTTTTTTTTTAAAAAAAGGTAGTCTCTTTCTTCTTAGCTTCTATGGCTTGTCTCATTTGGACACCTGGAATTCTTTACTGTATTTGTATGTCTTCCATGAGCATCAGTCTGGCTACCTACAGCTCGCATGGTCTTCTGGGTTTATTTCTAATCGCTGGGATTGTCAGCTTCATCTCTAGGAATATAATTACATGAAACTCTCCTACAATTTATTTTGATGTGATACAAAATCTGGCCCATTCCATTGGCCTTGTTCTACTGTGAACAATTTCCCTTGATTCCATTGATACTCCTATCCTCCTCAAGTTTCTGTGATGATCCAAACTCATAAAAAATGTTTCACGGTAGGTCAGTCCTACCACTCAGGGGTGAGAGATGTGAAGAACCACTGGTATTACTACATTTTAATGTCAGGAGTGACACTGGCCACAGTGATCTCTATCCAGGCTGCACTCTGTGACACAGCATGGCCTTCCTTATGCAAGATCTATATAATATATCTTTCATGCATGTTAGGGTCATCAACGGCAACAGCAGCAAAAACACCTATATATTTAGTTGATAGGCCCTGTGCTATACGCTTTACATTATGAATTATCTAATTTAATTCTCACAATAATCCTATGAGGCTGACACTATTTTTATCTTGTTTCACAGATGAAGAAACTGAAGCCTACCAAGGTTAGGAACTGCACCCAAAAGCATAGTAAGTTTAGAAACCAGGGCTAGTGTGTTTAAAAACCAGAAGGGAGATACACCCTGCATTTTACTGCTCCTTCTGCATTACTCTCTGCTTTGACTCACCAACTATTCTCTGCTCAACTGAAGCTCAGGTCATTGGCATATTCAAACCTCTTACCTTCCTTGTCACAGCGTACCTTCTCCAGATGTTCAGAATAGTCCTTCTACTCTATCTCCTGCCAATATCCTTAGTGAATTAATCTACCAACAGTTTGGCCTTCCCAAATTAATAGTTTCTAGCTCTATTATGTATTAGTCACTAAGTGGCACAAGCCTTGAACTTCAACACTGGGCAGTGAATTCCAATCACCAAATCTTACAGTCCCTTTTCAGTCTTCAGTCGGCCTCCTGTTTTGCAATTCTCTCCTGTCTTATTCCAGTCAAGGGCACATGCCCAGGTTGTGGGCTCGATCGCCAGAAGGGGGCATGAAGGAGGTGTAGGAGGAAGCCAATCAATGATTTATCTCTCATCATTGATGTTTCTTTCTTTCTCTCTCCCTCTCTGAAGTCAATAAAAAAATATATTTTAAAAAATTGTATTCCTACTTCTACTTCTGGATTTACCAATTTCCTGCTGGGTACCTGGCACCTGGATATTCTGCTAGACTCCACCCAACATTTCAAAATCCTCTATTATTTCCCATAAAACCGGACTATCCCAACTTTCTTTTATTGCCACTACCATCCTTTCAGACTAAATTTTTTATAATAGTTTTAAATTTTTCTCCACTCTGTCAATCTTCATATACAATATGTTGGTAAATCTTATAGTCTAACACAGTGACATGCCTCATATGCTATTATTTTGTCTAGCACCTCTCTCTTTAGACTGGGGATACTTTTAGTTGAACTACCATAATCACCTTCTTTCTGATTTACTTTCCTCGGTCCTCCCTCATACTATTCTATCCAAACACTACATCCCCAGTCCAATCTTTCTAAAGTACAATTTTGTTTATACCACTTTGTGGCTCAAAAAAAAACCCACAAAAAAAACAGAAGTTGAAGCAGGAGAGGAAAGAGTGCATGCCTGGTTTCTCATTCTGATATTCAAAGTCCTCCCCTTGGAACCTACCTTCCCAATTTAATCTCTCATTATTCCCTTTCATATATCCTATGCTCTAGCTAAATCACATAACTCATTAGCCTGAGACAAAAAAAAAAAAAACAAATAGAAAAACATATATTCTTACTTTCATACCTGTACTTAAGTTATATCCATTATCTGAATACCCTTTCCTTTAAAAAAAAAAAATCCTACTTATCTCCTAAGATTGATCTTAAATAGGATTAGTTCTGATACCCATAGTGTAGAAATGAATACAAGGTTTTCCAATTGATGGACTTTGATCTCATGCTACTAAATCATATTCTGATCATATCTTTAGTGTGTGTGTGTGTGTGTGTGTGTGTGTGTGTGTGTGTGTGTTTTAAAGATATGCCACAGGGAAAAACTTCCAGATGTCTCAATGACTCAATTATTTTAGTTAATTCCTGGGGAAAGACTATTGATTGTAGTGAGAATATTCACTTAACTTAGTCTGTGATAACTGTATTTCTCATTTAAAGAAATAGGTATTTATTTCCTCTCAGAGACAAATAAGTTAATGATGTAGTCACGTTAACAAATGCCAGATGTCATAGTTCAATATCAAGAGCCAAGTTTCATAATAATATGAATGCAAGTGAGAAAACTATATGACATTCAACGGCAAGAATACAGAGTTCATCCCTGGCTGAGTGGCTCAATAGGTTGGAGCGTTGCCTTGAACACCAAAAGGCTGCAGGTTCAATTCCTGGTCAGGGCACATACCTAGATTGTGGGTTCAATACCCAGTTGAGGCGCTATGAGAGGCAATCCATAGATGTTTCTCTCCAACATCGATGTTTTTTTTCTCTCTCTAAAAAAATTGATAAAAACATATCCTCAGATCAGGATAAAACAAAACAAAACAGTGAGTTCAAAATAATCTTTGGCATGCTAGTCAGTAATAATTGCCAGTAACCACTGCATATTTATCATAATCTCTGGATCTGTCCAGTCATTTTACATGTAAAACTTATTCAGTTTAACAATAGTCCCGTAAGTTAGAAACCCCTATGTTATTGATAAACTAAAGAGGTTATGCAGCTTGTGCATGGCATATATAATGGGAGCAGCAAAGCCAGGATTCAAACTCAAGCTGCCTGGCCCTAAAACTTTCACTTTAAAACACTATAGAAATTTACACTGTAAACAGAATTTTATTTCAGTAACATATCACCATCCATCACATTAATGCTGTAAATTGAATATTAATTGATTTTGCAGTTTCATTTGTATCTAGGTTGTCCCCCCAAAACGTATGCATACAAGTTGAATAATTATAAAGGCAGTATTTATTAAAATACATTTCATTTTTGAAACTGAGCTATCAACGTTAAAGTGTATATACATTTTTTGGGGAGAGACCCCTGTATGTAACACACTGAAAAAATTTAGAGCTGTATAAAAAATATAAGGTGTTCATATATTAATATTTTTTACTCATTTGTATGTATTGAAGTAGTGTTAAAATTTAAAAAGCAATTTAGTTAACTGCTATGTCACTGACAAGGCCTTTTTAAATGTGACTGATTTGCTACTTTGAATCTCCATAATACATAACTATCTTAAAGTCAAACTAAATCATGCCTTATGTCATAATCACTTTATCTACTACTGTAAACATCTTGAAGAGCTTGTATCGAAACATCCTTGTAATCCCTATAATACCCAAATAGTGTGTTGAATAACACTTGAGTATAAGAAATGTCACATGATTCTCTGAAGGTTGGTTGCAGAGTACACCCTGCAAACAGCCATAAGTCACTACAGTCTGAAGGACATATTCTCAATATGACACAAGGCTGAGAAGCCTGTGCTCTATTAGCAGCTTTACCCACGGATGACTCGGTGTGTATGTAATCTTGGTCCTCTGCTGAGCCTCCTTCTGCTAATGGGGAAGAAAGATATTGGTGACATCAGGCAAAAGAAGGTACTCTACAGCGTACAGGCATATTATGCTAGTTATGCCTTTGAACCTTCCTATTTAAGCCTAAAGGTATTCGAATAGAAGCGGACTTTTACGCTAACTGCTTAAAAAAATAAACAAATGAAACGCCAAACAAGAGGCCTTTTAGAAATGCAAAGGGAATTTCTTTTTTTAATAACCACTTTTCATCCTTTGCCCAAGTTAAGCCAGTCCCATAAAACAAATTATGATTCTTTCTGTCTTGGCAATGTCACTTCTACTCCAAAGATAAATTTGCTTTCTAATATTTAGCTCCTCTGAGCATTTTTACAGGTTCCAGCTCATTATTGATTAACCATCAAGTTCTGTAAGCTTTACCCCTAAATATATATGACATCCTTTAAAAAAAAAAAATCATCACCTTTACTAATCTAGACCAGAGAATCTCAGTGTGGTCCCAGAATCAGCTTGTATGATTTTGATTAACAACATGGAAATTAGGCCCTATCCTAGTATTCTATGCTTTATCCAAGCCCTCCAGTTGATCCTGAAGTTTAAGTTAGTTCCAGTCTAAAATGCCTGAAATTGTCTTCCAACTGGTTTCCATACCCAGTCTACTGAGCCTACTTAATATATACTCTATGCATCCACAGATTTCATCAGTGATTTTCATTTACTGGAATAGTGATTAAAAAAAAATATATATATATATATATAATCTGTTGACCAATAGGCAATATTGGTCAACAGAAGATAAGGCAATCCAGTAGGTCAAGACCAGTATTGAATTTTCTTAAAGTAAAATTAGAAGAAAACACAATATATCAGAAATAATCACATATAGATTATTTTGTTAAACTTGGCTTCAATTGTGTGTGTGTGTTTGTGCGCACATACACACATGTATATTTCCTATTACAGTTGATAATTTAAAAAGTTTAAAAGACATCTGCCTAGAGCAGTGCTTCTCATACTTATTCACACTCACCCAGGGATCTCGTTATAATGCTGGTCAGGGGAGGTTCCCGAGGCTCGGCATTTATTTCTCACAGGTTTTCATGTGATGGCCAGATAGTCTTGGACCTCACTTCTAGTACCAAGAGCTATTCAAATGAGAAATCTTAGAATACTACTAAACTGTTACTTCAGCTTCCATAATTCATGGCATAGTAAGTTTTATTGATACAGCAAATTTACAATATGCTAGAAAATTTTACTAAATGTTCAGACAATTGAGATAGTGGTGTTCTAGCTGTTGAGATGGGAAAACAAAAATCTTTGCTTTAATTAGAATTGTTAGCAGTCTTTAAAATGAGTTTCCTATTTCCTGGAAAATTAGGAAATGAATAAGATGAGTTAAAATTTGTTTTATTTGATGAGTAATAATTTTGAATTGCCTCAGGATAATCTAGCATTATCTCAGGATGTTAGTTACAGGAACTCTATAACTATAGGATACTATAAATGTATATGCGTAAGATGTAGAAAAAAATGGGTTCAATTTAATAAGCACTGGCCTCAGGTTATACTCTGGGTATTTAAATTTTTAACCAAAATCCTTAAAGGAACTGGAGTTGGAGGGAAGGGATATCTCTTTTTTATCAAAGTTGAAGGGAAGAAAATTATCTAGTTTCAATTAATCAGGACCATCCATGCTATAATTCATTCACAGAGCAACTAACTTACTAGATGCTTACTCCATGTCAGCTGAAGATCTACGTGGTGGGAACACAGAAATTGGAAGACAAAGTACCTCCTAGAGAGAGGTACTTTGTCTAAAGGATTCTGTATATTTCAATGTCTCTGCAACTGACTGGATGAGAATTTTTAGTGGGTCTTTCCTATTGATTTCTAGATAAGGGCAGAAACAAGACTTTCATTTTTTAATTTTCCATAGCACCTGGCACAGTGCTCTGCAGGCCATCAAGTATAATAGTTGATAAAAGTTAATGACTACTCAATTCTTTCATTCACCAAATTAATAAGTGTACTTGAAGAGAATATGAAATGCAGCTGACTAATAGCCCAATCTGTGCCATTTTTGTTATCTAAGAGGTTTGGTCAAAATGAAACATTCATCTGTGCATTATAATAACCAACTACATCACCCTGAGCTTTATAAAAATGTATAGTTTCACTGAGGATTTAGTACTTTTTTTGACTACCCACCTGACACATGGGAGAAATGAGAAACCTAAACAGATTCCCCCCTGCCCCGCCCCCGACAAAAATAAAATTTCCTCAGATTCTCTGGTAACCTATACAGATATTATACCATCTTTACCATCATACACAAAAAAATGAACTTTGGGTGATGAATCTCCAGTCCTCAGCTCAGCTTTATGTCTGCGCTGATAGTTCTGGAAAAGATGACTGATCAAGGTAACCTATTGAACTCTACAAATTGGATACTTTCTGAACCAAAAAGCCAGACAGAAATATTCCCAAGAAAGGGGTAGGAGTAGGAAGTAGGGTCTAGGGAACAAGGGACAGCGAAGGAGGCCGAAGCCAGTTCTCACCGAGAGGATCTTATCACCCTCCTGGAGCCGCCCATCCAGGGCCGCAGCCCCATCCTCTTTGATGCGGCTGACGTAGATGCCACTGTCGTTGGAGACATACTGCTGATCTGTCCCACCGACGATGTTGAAGCCCAGCCCTGAGAAAATCATGGAGGAGTTGTGAAGGAGATAGGGGTGAAGAAAAAGAAAGGGTTTAGAGAAAAAGAAGATAAAGAGAGAGGAAAGTCCTAGTAGCGAGGGGAGGCTGGTGAGTCAGACTGATGTAGCTGGTGAATATTCGTGGGCAAGGTCAGTGAATAATATCACCAAGAGTGGTCAAGTGTATCTAGAATTGCCCGCTCAGGTCAGGTAGAACTAAAAATACAAACCCAATGGTCAACATCGTTTGTTGAATATAAAAAGAAAGATCTATGTTAACTCAGTGAAAGAATAATGATGATTCTTATATAAGATGTGCTTCTGTTCACATTTGATTCTGATTCTACTGATGGCACTCAGTGGACCCAACTTTTTGACTTTCCTTTTATTCATGTAACAGGGTTAGCTGTGTCCATGAGAAGAAGTATGCTTTTAACTAATTAGCAAATAAACTATTCTTAATTTAGTAGAAGAGAGATTACCAACCAAACTTTACTTTCCATACTTCTCCAACCTTTGGGAGAATTTGTGCATGGTGGTATTTTGGAAGAAATGGTCTTGGTAGTCTTATTTATTTTTTTCTATTTTGAGTTGAGGGGGCAGTAGTGTGTTGGCAGGAAACCTGGGAAATAGAAAGGTAACTGATGCTTCATTATAGAACGAAACTATCAAATTCACTCTTCTTTCCTTTTCTACCTCAAGTGCAAGCAAGCTCGTACTTTGGTACAGTGATTGCTAAGTTTTATTTGCAGTAGAAAATTGATTCAATGATTAGCAATTCCCCATTTCAGCTTCTCCCCACCCCCAGGTAACCACCATTCTTTCTATTCCTCCCGTCTAGGAGTGACTATTTTAAATAGGCATAAAATTTCAATTACACAAGATTAAGCTCTAGAAATTTGATGTACAACATTGTAGAGATAACAATAGTGTATTGTACACTTAGAAATCTGTTAAGAGTCCTAGCCGTTTAGCTCAGTGGATAAAGTGTTGGCCTGAAGACCAAAGGGTTCCAGGTTTATTCCAGTCAAGGGCATATATCTCGGTTGCAGGGCCTGGGCAAGGGTACATATCTCGGCTGCAGGGCCTGGTTAGGGGTTTGCAGGAGGCAATCAACTATGTGTTTCTCTCACACTGATATTTCTCTCTGTCTTTCCCTCTCTCTCTTCCACTCGCTAAAAAATCAATGGAAAAATATCCTTGGGTGATGATTAAATAATAAATAAATAAATAAATAAATAAATAAATAAATAAATAAAAACTATAGTGTTGATTACATAACTCAATCATAACTTTTTTAAATCTGTTAAGAGAGTAGATATCATTTAAATGTTTTAATGCAAATAAAACAAAATAAACCTGACTATCAAAATAAACCTATTATTTTCATGTACCAACCATTAAATTGTGGGATTTCAGTTTGTGAAAACCATTGTTATAAAAGGATTTTATCTATGCAATAAGAAGAAAAGAAAAAGAACTTCCCTAGAGTTTTCTTCATGTCAAGTACTGTAGAAGTGAAAACACAGAGCAAAGAGAAAGGAAATAGTTTAGAAACAATTAAAAAACAAAAATCAGGTAGTACAATTGGCAGGATTAGCCATAATCACTAGCCTACTTACTGATTTCAATATAGAGCAGATACTTAAAAAGACATATGTGGACTTTCTAAAAGTTCTCCTCACTGGTGGGATGAGAACTTACATGTAAAGCTCATAATATTAATATACGCACTAGAAAATTAATCTGGGATTTAAGAAAATGCATGGATGAAGAGAGAAGCAACAGGAAATATTTCACTTAAATAGTGTAAATTGTGCACAATAGAATATCTGCAGCTAGAGAATAAAAAGGATTTAAGATACATGACAGAAGAACTACTTCTGGAAAATGACTATTTCAACTTCTTTGTAGGTAGTATATAAAAAATTTAAAGTTACTAAATGATTTCTCTTAGAACACTCTTAATTTGTATTATAGTGGGTGGCAGGTATTTGAAAGGGGCTGGTGGAGTTATTTGAGATAAGATGGAAAGGTAGGCGGAGCCTATCTTATGGAAGGCTATGAAATTACTTAAAAACTGTGACAGGTTTACCCTAGCTGGCTCAGTGGATAGAGCCTTGGCCTGTGGACTGGAGGGTCCTGGGTTAGATTCTGATCAAGGATACATGCCCAGATTGCGGCCTCTATCCCCAGTAGGGGGCATGAAGGAAACAGTTAATCAATGATTCTCATCATTGATGTTTCTATCTCTTCCTCTCACTTCCTCTCTGAAACCAATAAAAAAAAAACACTTTTTTTTTTTTAAAAAAACAACAACAACTGTGACAGGTTTAAGCAAGGTGGCTCAGGCCAACTAGCCTCTCTCAATAATGGAAGAAATTATTTGGAGAAAATCTTTCAATAAAATTCAACATCCTAATCAAACACTACTATAGCTGCCACTAGAAATCTTGGATAGAAAGCACATTTTTAGCAGATGAATGCAATATAGTAGTAAGAAAGAGAAGTGGCCCTGGCTGGTTTTCTCAGTGGTTAGAGCATTAACTCACACACCAAAGGGTTGAGGGTTCAATTCCCAGTCAAGGGCATGTAGCTTGGTTGCAGGCTCAATCCCTGGCTGGAATAGGGTACATGCAGGAGACAACCAATCCGTGTTCTCTCTCACAATGATGTTTCTCTCTCTCCACTGCATCTCCTTTCCACTCCATCTAAAAGCAATAGGAAAATATCCTCGGATGAGAATTGAAAACAAGAAAAGAAAGAGAAGGAACTTTGCTACTGGTTATTTAAACCTATAGAACAGTATCTAAAAAAGAAGAGTGAAAGAAATCTTACTGAAATGTTCTAAAAATAAACAAGTGCAGTCATTCCCTCCAGAAATCCAGGCATGTTTATAACCTACTGCTGCTTCAGTTGTAAATGAACCACACCAACGAAAACTCGTGGACTGATGTGAAATCCCTTTCTTCAGCCCGAACATTTACAGAACTGAACTCACTTATAATTCAAAGCACTGCTGCAATAAACAGAAATCACCAAAGTACTGAGTAGCAGCAACATTACCAATTCAAACCTGGTATCTATGGATATCTAAATAATCCCCAGTTCATGTGTTCATTAAAAATTACTGGTGCCGAAACCTGTTTGGTTCAGTGGATAGAGCGTCGGCCTGAAGACTGAGAGGTCCCGGGTTCGATTCCGGTCAAGGGCATGTATCTTGGTTGCAGGCACATCCCCACTAGGGGGTGTGCAAGAGGCAGCTAATCGATGATTCTCTCTCATCTCTCATCGATGTTTCTAACTCTCTATCCCTCTCTGTAAAAAATCAATAAAATATATATTTTTTAAAATTACTGGTGATTGGCCCTGGCTGGGTAGCTCAATTGGTTAGATCATCATACCAATATGCCAAGGTTTGGGTTCGATCTCCAGTCAAGATGAGCACATACAAGAATCAAGCAATGAATGCCTAAGTAGAACAACATATTGATGTATGTTTTTTTTTTTTTTCTCTCTCTCTCTAAAAAAAAAAAAAAAAAAAAAAAAATTACTGATTGACCATGTATCAGGCACTGTGTTATGTTCTGAGAAAGACATAAAGCTAAACTAGACAGTTCCTGCTTTAATCATAAACAGAAATTTACCCCTTTTCCTGTCCCTTTTAGATTTTGCAAAAGCAAATAAAAATCAGAAGACCGGGTCACATACTCAACTCCATAACTTAAGAGATTCGTGGACTAAAAAAAGTCATTGCACCTCTGAACCACAGCTTTCTTTTCTGTAACATAAGGATTATAATGTTACCCTCCCTACCTCAAAAGCTAATTGTTAGGATCCAATTATCTTAATAAATCTAAAAAAAACCCACAAAACTCTTATAAACTAGAATTGCACTAAAGTAGTTGTTAATGAACTAGTAGTACCTGCTTACAGTCCCAAATCAGATAGTTTGATGGAGAAAGGATGAATAACTGTACAGTACAAATATGAATAAACCTGAAATGTAGGAAAACAGAGAGATTAAAAAGTCCACCCAGCCTGCTAGAGTGGCTGGGTGGTTGAGTGTCAACCTACGAACCAGGAGGTCACTGGTTCAATTCCCAATCAGGGCACATGCCCAGGATATGGGCTTAATCCCCAGTCGGAGGTATGCAGGAGGGAACTGTTCAACAATACTCTCTCATCATTGATGTTTCCATTTCCCTTCCTCTCTAAAATCAAAAAAAAAAAATATTTTTAAAAAGTCCATCCACCCATTAATGGGACAAGACTGGACAAACTCAAACTTCAAGTATGTCTATAACCTTTAACCCAGACATTTCTCCTCATGAGCAGTATCTACAAAGAGTGGAATTTAAAATAAGCAATAATCAGTCCAGCACATGCACCAACCAACTGCAACAGATGTCAGCTGGAAGCAAAAAGGGAAGGACCATCCCAGTACATATCTGTTGATTATCACCTGTGTCTTAGAACAATCTGCCATATACAGGGTGGACCACATTTCCTGTTGATCAAGGAGTCTTGAAATACTCCTGTAATAAAAATACTCCCCATCAATTTCAAAGGCATCTCAGTTTGGACCAATGTGATCATCCTATCTATAAGGATGATGTAAGAATATTTAATTGCAGCATGTTTTGGGATAGCGTGGACCGACAGTAATTTAGGTGTCTATTCTTTGGGGAATTGGTAACTAAAACCTAGTTAAAAGTTAGAAGCACTGAATAATCCTATCTAATAAAAGTAATATGCAAACTGACCAACCTACACTATAACAACAAGGCACGCCCACCAGCCAATCAGGAGTGATTTATGCAAATTGATCCAACCAAGATGGTTGTGGGCAGGAGGTTTGGGTTTCCCTGGCAATGGAGGAAGCCAAGCTTCCTGCACACCTTGGCCAGTCCAGGCCTCCACTCAAGGCTACAAAGTTTCAATTATATAAATCCCAGATACCAGGGCCTCCACTTGGGTCACTGAGGGGCATGGCCGC